ACTGCTGACCGTGATGCTGTGCCATGTGACCACAGACACCGTGATAACCACGGAGGCTTTTATGAACGCTGCCTCAGACAGCAAACACGTTTCTATCACTGACACCTTCAACTGTCTGACCAAGTGGATTATTGCTTTACTCATTAGATAGCACTGACTTCATTGGTACATATTTACTGTCTACTCATAGAGTGAAGTATGAAGCAGCTGTAGTACTTCCTGTATTGATCAACAGCTGAGCGATATGGCAAACTGGATAAACTGTGCTTCTTCTCTCTGGAGCTACAGCAGCAGGCAGACAGGTGAAGTGTGGAGGAGTGGAGACGTATCCTCTGCAGCACCAAACATGGCCATCAACGGCCACTAAATCCACAATTAGCCATCATGGCTCAATACAGCAAAGATAGAGCGTGATAGCAGCGGGCTGTGGGAGAGCACATTCACCACTGATCACAAGTGTCATTTGTCACATTTTCACAGTGATATTTGAAATCTCAGCTTTGAAGCTGGAGTGCGCTGCATCCTGTTTCTACCACGTCTAACAAGGCTTCAGCACTGTGCGCTACCACTCAAAGCACCAGGGATGTGCAGAGCTCAGTTGGATTGTCACAAATTTGAAACCCGTTTCACTTACACGTAGGCACTCTTTGAATTTTGGGGTAATTTAGTTTAGCTGTGGTGTAAGCTGATGTTCTCTCCATGGGCGTGAGAGACGGTGAGCGGAGCTGGCAGCTTGCTGTCTGTGTACCGACGGAGCTGTGCAGCAGGAGCTGCAGCCAGTGGCAGGCCTAATGGAAGCTGATCAGGAGCTTAGGTCACTGCCATCTCAAATATAGTCATGGCACAGCAGACGTCAGCACTAACTCACCTTAGATTAGAGGCTGGAAGCATGTCTGTAACACACTCTGACACCTCAAAAAGAAGCCTCAGCCACAGCATTTCAATTACCTGCTTCCCTGGGAAAGTGCACAGCCTTACCCTGAAGACTCCACCGCACGCTGTCAGAGAAACCTCGGGAGAGAAGCTTCATGTTTCTGCTTCACTGGTTTTAAAAGAGATGCTCTGATTTATTAATGCATTTATATATTAGTTTGTTTGTTTGGGTTGAAAGGACTGATTGAGCCCAAACCTCCCCGACGTGCCGGACGCCTGCAGATCCCTCAGATTTACATGCACTCAGTTTTCTAACTAAATAATACAAATATATCTCCTTTGTGGCGATAAATAATCAATAATCAGTTGGTCATCTTGTAGACGGACAGCTCCACCTTCTTGAACTGAAGGTAGCCACAGTAGTCCTTGTTGTGCACATGGACCAGTTCTCCAGTGCAGCTTCGCACCCGGACGACTGTCTTCTTCCCTTCTCTGTATTATTGTAGCTACGGACAGTATGAAGCAGCTCGAGGCAACTATACGAATAAAGTTTAATTGAATGAGAAACACTGCACTGTGAAATCTATATCATGTGATTCATACGGCTTTCATATTTAGCAACTGCTCAGTGAGCGGACGGCCCAACACAGCAGAGCCTCTGTTCACACCTGCAGGCCAGTGGACACTTCAAGGATGAGGATGTAACGTCCTGGACAGGGAGGAACGCTGGTTTGAGGGCGGAGCCAAGGAGGGAAAGACCATCTGAATGGGGGAGGGGGCCTGAGGGTCCATCTGTCACCTGTGAATGGTGGAGAAGCGTCAAGACGCTCAGTGGGGCCTCGTGTCACATGAGACAGGAGCGCCGCACTCAGAGGGAACAACATATGATGAAGTGTGATTACTCAGAAAAACAATCGTATTTATTTGTAGTGAGCATTTTTCAAAGGAGGCGTGATGACACTGACCCTGGACGAGCACTGACAGACCCACTGATCCCTCAGTGTGTGGTTGTGTCACTGCTGTGTGATGTTGGTGTGGGTGACTCAGGCAGAGAGGGAGTGTGAAGGACGCACAACAGTGTGTTTCCATGAAACAGGTTATGTTGCTGTGACTTCTGACCACACAGGTAAATGTCCGCACTCAGCTGTGGACGCACAAGTTTGACACACAGGGACGTCCAAACGTGCTGAAAAGCTCCTGTCATGAATAATTTCAGGGTGGGTCGGAGGTTCTGTGAGTCGCCATCTTGACCTGCTTGAAAGAAACCAGGAACATGTTTCAGTGTGTGTGGAGGAAGTGAGAGCGTGTGGAGGAAGTGAGAGCGTGTGTGGAGGAAGTGAGAGTGTGTGGAGGAAGTGAGGTGTGTGGAGGAAGTGAGAGGTGTGTGGAGGAAGTGAGAGTGTGTGTGGAGGAAGTGAGTGTGTGTGGAGGAAGTGAGAGCGCGTGTGGAGGAAGTGAGAGCGCGTGTGGAAGAAGTGAGAGTGTGTGTGGAGGAAGTGAGAGCGTGTGGAGGAAGTGAGAGCGTGTGTGGAGGAAGTGGAGGAAGTGAGAGCGTGTGTGGAGGAAGTGAGAGGTGTGGAGGAAGTGAGAGGTGTGTGGAGGAAGTGAGAGTGTGTGTGCAGGAAGTGAGAGCGTGTGTGCAGGAAGTGAGAGTGTGTGCAGGAAGTGAGAGTGTGTGGAGGAAGTGAGAGCGTGTGTTTAGGAAGTGAGTGTGTGTGCAGGAAGTGAGTGTGTGTGCAGGAAGTGAGAGCGTGTGTGCAGGAAGTGAGAGCGTGTGGAGGACGTGAGAGCGCGTGCAGGAAGTGAGAGTGTGTGCAGGAAGTGAGAGCGTGTGTTTAGGAAGTGAGAGCGTGTGTGAGGAAGTGAGAGCGTGTGTGGAGGAAGTGAGAGCGTGTGTGGAGGAAGTGAGAGCGTGTGTGGAGGAAGTGAGAGCGTGTGTGGAGGAAGTGAGAGCGCGTGTGGAGGAAGTGAGAGCGCGTGTTTAGGAAGTGAGAGCGCGTGTGGAAGTGAGAGCGTGTGGAGGAAGTGAGAGCGTGTGGAGGAAGTGAGAGGTGTGTGGAGGAAGTGAGAGGTGTGTGGAGGAAGTGAGAGGGTGGGGGGGGTGTGTGGAGGAAGTGAGAGGTGTGTGGAGGAAGTGAGAGGTGTGTGGAGGAAGTGAGAGTGTGTGGAGGAAGTGAGAGGTGTGTGGAGGAAGTGAGAGTGTGTGTGGAGGAAGTGAGAGTGTGTGTGGAGGAAGTGAGAGGTGTGTGGAGGAAGTGAGAGCGTGTGTGGAGGAAGTGAGAGCGCGTGTGGAAGAAGTGAGTGCGTGTGCAGGAAGTGAGAGCGCGTGTGGAAGTGAGAGCGTGTGGAGGAAGTGAGAGCGTGTGCAGGAAGTGAGAGCGTGTGCAGGAAGTGAGAGCGTGTGTTTAGGAAGTGAGTGTGTGTGCAGGAAGTGAGAGCGCGTGTGGAGGAAGTGAGAGCGTGTGCAGGAAGTGAGAGCGTGTGCAGGAAGTGAGAGCGCGTGTGCAGGAAGTGAGAGCGTGTGGAGGAAGTGAGAGTGTGTGCAGGAAGTGAGAGGCGTGTGGAGGAAGTGAGAGCGTGTGCAGGAAGTAAGAGTGTCTCAGGAACGTCTGTGATCCGTCTGCAGACCAGTGTGTCAGTCTGTACCACACAGAGCTTTGTGTGGATCATTACAAACAGCTGTTCTGAGATCAGTGTTGTGTGTCTGTGTGTGAGAGCACAATCACAGAGACCAACAGCATCACAGCCTTCCTCTAAGTCTTCCTCAGCTCCCACTTCCACTCTGGTCACAGTGTTTATACAGAGCTTGGTTCTTCCAGCACATCAGAGCGCGTGCAGTTACAAAAGCATCATGATGACTGCGTACACACCGAATGGAAGGGTTTGAAAACTGAAACCAGTGTGGCAGTTTTTAAACGTGCACTCTTGTTAATGGCCACACTGGGAAATGCCACTGGCTGTAATACACGTAGAAACACGCCTGCGTGGCCTTACTGCTCACTCAGTGTGTGACCTGAGGAAACCCTTTGTGCTCTCGTCATTGCTTTTATTCATGATGATGTCATTTACAGAGCATGACTGAGGATGTGCGTGACCTCAGATCCTCCGCTTTCAAACGTCGAGATGCTGTCGGGGTTTCACAGCAGGACTCGAACCATTACTCAAAGTCAAAGTGCAGCGTACAGAGAGACGAGCAGCGAGAAAAACAACCTGAGAAATTAAGAGGATCAAGAGAAGTTAATTTAAACTGATGTCTCACTGGGTATCACAGAGATGACATCTGTGTTCAACACAGACGTTACCTCCTCAGTCACTGTGGGTGAGTAACCGTCTCCAGTGTCTCCGGTTCGGGGACATGTCAGACCGCTGTTCTCCAGTATGGAGACGTCTCCTTCTTTCCCTGGGACTCGCCGCTTTCAGGCGACTCTGGTTGTGATTTGGCGCCACATGCAGAATAAGTAACGCACTGAAGCATAATAATAAGATGAGAAGAGACTGAAAAAGAAAAGAGCCGTGTGATTAAAACTGCAGTATTCTGAACAGACCAAGTGAAAGCTGGCAGTAACTTGTGGTACAAATCATCAGTCACCGAGGCTAACCAACAAATGTTTTTGGCTTTGCCTCTGTGACATTTTACCTGCACAGTCAGCCTCCAGCTTGTATCCACAGGGTTTGCATACAAATGCAGACAATCACTGCAATCCAAACACTCGTGGAGTGTGTGAGGCAGACAGCTGCTGGCAGTAATGGGATTTCTCTTTGCCGCGCAGCAGCCTGCTGGGCGCTGACCTCCATTTAGATGCCCAGAGAGAGAGATAAAGCCTTGTGATGAGGACTCCCCCGGTGGCCGGCCGGGTCACAGGGCTGCTGTCAGTCACAGCACACATCTCACTCTGTGTGCATGTGCTGTGAGCTGCAGATGCTGCTGGAGTGTGCAGCAGACCTACAGCCGTGTGCATGTATTACACTCTGCTGTAGTAGGCTGCCAGTGGCTGATTACTGCATGTACTGTACAGGAAATGTTTGATTCCCGACTGCTGCTGCTGTTTTGTGTGAACACTTACAGCTGAGAGTCTGAGACTCGCCTCCACTCCTTCTGAAACTCCTTCTTTGACCGTCTCTTTCAGATCCAGCGCTCCAGGAACAAGCAGATGAAAGAAATGTTTCCTGAAGGTTTTGGCATCCACCACGCTGGCATGCTGCGCTCTGACCGCAGCCTGATGGAGAGCATGTTCTCCAGAGGCCACCTCAAGGTCCTGGTCTGTACCGCCACCTTGGCCTGGGGAGTGAACCTGCCGGCTCACGCTGTCATCATCAAGGTCCTTCATGGATTTAATGTGTTTGTGCCTGCTACCCTGAGGGAGCTCAGAGCGTCCTTTACTTTGCACATTCCATCTAAAGTCAGTAGTTGAGGGCTTTTAATTGGCTCTGTAACTTTAAGTGTCTCACAAATGTGAACGTTATTCCTGTAAAAGCCTCACGTATCTGCAGTCAGCTTGTGAGACCATGCACTGAAGTGTAACGTGGTTTTATTTGTTGTTTTAGTTTCAGAATGCTGAGATGCTGTAAAGATTCACTCGGTTATTCTGAGCGCTCCCCGCCTGCACTCACACACCTGTCTCTGCTCTGATGCAGGGTACCCAAATTTACGATGCCAAGCGCGGCGCCGTGGTGGATCTGGGCATCCTGGACGTCATGCAGATTTTTGGAAGAGCAGGTCGTCCGCAGTTTGATAAGTATGGTGAGGGAACCATCATCACCACCCACGACAAGCTGAGCCATTACCTGACCCTGCTCACCCAGCAGAACGCCATAGAGAGTCGGTTCCTGGACAGCCTGGCCGATAACCTCAACGCTGAGGTAACGCAGTTTCCTTCTGCTTCACTTTGAGCAAAGTTTAGCTTCCACAGTCCGAACAGGGCAGCGATGACATGCAGACAGGTGCCAGGATAGCACATAGCTAACATTTAACATGGACTCAGGTCATAGTGTTTGAAACAAGCTGTCTTCAAATCTGTGAAGCTGTTTTACATCTTTAAGAAAAGGATTAATAGCACGTGTTGCTGGGCAGAGTAGAGAGGAGCAGCTGTGCTTTCAGGTAGTGTCCATTAGATGGCGACAGAGGTCTGTGAGCCGCTGTTCTCTCTCCTGCTACAGATTGCTCTGGGAACGGTCACCAACGTGGAGGAGGCTGTGAAGTGGCTCAGCTACACCTACCTTTATGTTCGCATGAGGGCCAACCCGCTGGTGTACGGCATCAACCACAAAGCCTCTCAGGTTGGTCCAGATCCCCGGAGGGCGGGGACGTACACTGGTGTGGAAAAGTGCTTTTTTTATATGTTTGTCTCACTTAAGTGTTTCAGATCATCAAACACATGTAGATATACAGATACACGTAACACAAAGTTTCTAAATGAAGGCGTTCATTTGGTGGGAGCCAAATCCAGACCTACACGGCCCTGTGTGGAAAAGTGCTTCCCCCTAAAGCTGGTCGCTGATTGGACCACAGCAGCCAGAAGGGGCAAAGACAAAACACCCAAATGAGGAATAGAACAATAATAATACTTTTATTTGTGTTACATCAAAGATCAGGGTCCGACACACACCTGCGCACACGTTCAGCTGACGAGCCGAGGGAGGCTGTAACTGTGACGTGTGTGCAGGGGCCTGTCGGTGTGGAGCTTTCTGTGGGGATTGCACTGGCAGCTCATGAAGGGAACTTAAAAACATGTCAGCTTTGGCTGTGCAGCTGCACCGACACGAGGAAGGAGAGAAGAAAGGTCGAGTGTAAAAGTAGAAGGTTGGTTTCTGCAGGGTTTCTTGGAGGACTTCAAAGATCCAGACTTTGCTCAGAAGTGACAGCAAGGTTCTTAGCACATGCTGTATGAAATGTTAGACCAGGTCATAACTGAACTATAAATGAACGTTGTGATTTAAATGTATTGAAAACACAAGAGAAAAACAAAGTTGTTGTGTTACTGACGTCTTTCTCGTGCTGCGGGAGCTCAGATGGATCCAGCTTTGGAGCTGTACAGGAAGGATCTGGTGGTGGAGTCGGGCAGGAAGCTGGATAAGGCCAGGATGATCCGCTTCGACGAGCGCACCGGCTACTTCGCCTCCACAGACCTGGGCAGGACTGCGAGCCACTTCTACATCAAATATAACACCATAGAGGTAAACGCCGCACACATGTTCACTCTGTTCACTGCAGAGGTCCATGGAGCATCGCACACACTCAGACACACACAGACTCAGACACAGACTCAGACACACACACACTCAGACAGACACACACACCACACACACACACACACACAGACACACACACACAGACACACTCAGACACGCACACAGACACACACACACACACACTCAGACACACACAGACACACACTCAGACACACACAGACACACACACACACTCAGACACACACTCACACAAAAAAAAAAAAAAAAAAAAAAAAAAAAAAAAAAAACACACAACACACAGACTCAGACACACACAGACACACAACACACACTCAGACACACACACACACACACACTCAGACACACACTCAGACACACACAGACTCAGACACAGACTCAGACACACACAGACACACACTCAGACACACACACACACAGACACACACACACACACACTCAGACACACACTCAGACACACACACACACTCAGACAGACACACACTCAGACACACACACTCAGACACACACTCAGACACACACACACAGCAGTGCTGTTGGGTTGGACACACTCGTACTGGGCGGCTGTGTTAGGCCATGCATTTATGCACAGCTAGCACTCATCAGCATTAAACTTCATCCTGCTGGATTATAGATGAGCTGTTTTTCTAGTACATGTGTTTGAGTGCATGCAGGTGAGAACCTGCAGGCTGCAGAGCAGCATGGAGCCATGATAACAGAAAGTGTCACGTTTCGAGCCGCTCTCAGTGCTTCTGTCCAAACACGTTCCAACTATTCAACACACGAGTGCATCACAACCGTTCATAGTGTCCTTCACACAGGCTGCAGCAGCTGGATGAAGCACAGCTGCCAGGAGCTTCTCATCAGCAGTTTACAGTTCCTGTAAGCACAGTACACGCTCTGGTTGATCCAATAATCACCAACGTTTCTCTTTCCTCCACATGTGAAGACGTTCAATGAGCATTTCAACCCTCAGGGAACAGAAGCCGACATCCTCAGCATCGTCTCCAAAGCTGAGGAGTTTGAACAACTCAAGGTGAGCTGTGGCCGTCAGAACGTATGTAGTTATCAAATAGTACAGTTTGTGTTCATCCAATAAAAAGCTCTGTCACAACTGAGCACAGCTCATATAATCCAGCTCGGTGTGTTGCTGTGTGTCGCCAGGTTCGAGAGGAGGAGATGGAGGAGCTGGAGCAGATGCTGTGTAGCTACTGTCAGCTTCCAGCTGCAGGAGGTGTGGAGAACGGCTACGGCAAGGTCAACATCCTGCTGCAGACGTACATCGGCCGAGGAGAAGTGGACAGCTTCTCGCTCATCTCGGACCTGTCCTATGTTGCACAGGTGAGGACAGCAGGGCGAGGTGCTGCAGGCCGAGGTGCTGCAGGGCGAGGTGCTGCAGGGCGCTGGCGTTGCATTCACCCATCTGTTATACGCACACAGTCAGACCCGTGCTGTGGTGTTTGCTGCCACACTAACTCAACGATTTTAAATCACTGTTGATTTTTGGGATTTTAATGGGAACAAAAAGAGGCGGGGCCAAAGGAAGCAGGTGGAAAAATAAAAAACCTGAAGACTGATTGAAAATGAAATGATTAGAATGACATCAGAGGATGTTGGTGCTGATGACTGCACACAAGCCTCGCTCTAAAACTACAGTAGCTCATTTCCTGTTGACATGCGATGGACAGCTGAGCACTGATCATGTGACTTTGACTTGTCCCCCCTGGTCAGTGAGCAAACTGTGTAAAACACTCATGAGTGGTGCTGGGGTGGAGGTTTGACTGCACGAGTCGACGGGGCTGTGAAACTACAAAGAGCGTGCACGTGCCACTCTGCTCGAGAACAACACCTGCATACGTGTCGGTACATATGATCCCAGTGTTTATTAAAACGACCTTTTCAATTCAGAACTGAAAAGACAAAAACAATTTTTATAATATTTGTTATTAAATCAGTAGTTTGACTGTTGACAGGAAGGTGCAGGCCTTCCTGTGTCCACCTGCTCTTAAACACAGGCCCACCACACTGCATGTCCTGTACCACATGGTCACATGACATTATCAGCTGACTAAATCACAGCGAGCAACACTACCATGTGACCTCTGGGTGCTGCACGTCTGCTCTTCGTCACACGTGGTGAACGATGCTGAGCGATGTGCCCACCAGCTGCTCCGTGTAGTGTGGAACCTCTGGCTGATGTTTTTCCCGCTGTCGCCCACAGAACGCCGCTCGGATCGTGAGGGCCTTGTTTGAGATCGCTTTGAGGAAGCGCTGGCCGCTTATGACCCGTCGACTGCTCACCCTGTGCAAGGTGATCGACAAGCGGCTGTGGGACTCTGCCCACCCCCTCCGGCAGTTCCCCAACCTGAGCCCCGTCGTGCTGAACCGCTTGGAGGAGAAGAAGCTGACTGTGGACAAACTGAAGGAGATGAGGAAGGATGACATTGGTGAGTGCAGCCCAGTGTTTCTGTGCTGCAGAGGCCTTTCACAGCACTGCTGTGCAACACTGGCATCACCGCACTTTGTTCGACTTTGCCTTGTTTATTGAAACCACAGTAAATCGTGCCGGTGCAGCCGTGTGTCTGTCCTGACGGGATCATACTGTTTTTGTTAACTGCAGCTTTAAAGAAGAGAAAAGTGTTTTGAGTGGAAGAAGCTCAGACTAGTGCTTAATCCAACATAAGCCGAGCTTTTATTTAAGTATTAGCTTTTGCTGATAAACAGAAAGTTCACGCACACTGGTTTTAATAAACACCTTAATGCCAGGTGTACTTTTTCCAGGTCACATGCTGCACCACGTCAACATCGGGTTAACGGTCAAACAGTGTGTCCACCAGATCCCCTCGATCTCAATGGAGGCCACCATCCAGCCAATCACACGCACCGTGCTGCGTGTTCGTCTCATCGTCACGCCTGATTTTCGCTGGAATGACCAGGTACAGACAGATTACGTATCCTTGAGTCAGGATGGTTCGCCGTGCAGCATTTTCCAGAGACGGTCAAATGTTTTACAGCTGACCTGAGTGTGAGGGGCAGATGTCAGGGTTAGACCAACCTTTGATCTGCTGTGACATATTTACAGTTCAAGCCTCCGTCCGTCCTTTCATCCATCGCCTCAGGTGACCCAAAGGAACAGAACGCTAAGCAGGACATTCCAGATTGATTGATTGATCATACTTTATTCATCCCGAGGGAAGTTACCCTCCGACCACACATGCATGACACAAACATCACATGGGGAAGACAGGTCAGAGAGGTGTAACAATGGAAAATGCACCACATGAGGAAAGACGCCCTCTCCCCACTTTCCAGTTCCTCCTGGGGGATCCCACAGTGTCCCCAGGCCAGATGACATGTCCTGGGTCACCGCCCAGTTAGTCCTACCCAGAAAACCTCCAAAGGGACGTGCCAAGGAAACATCCCCGAACCGCATGCAGGCGCTCTACTCCGAGCTCATCGCCCTGTCTGTAAGCCTGAGCCCAGCCGCCCATTACCATAGCAACCTTATTTGTAAGGGACTTTAAAACAACCACAATGGACCAACGTGCTGCACAGCAGAGTAAAGACATCAAGACAGATTCAAATGAAAAAGACAGAAAACAACAAAAATGAAATCAACAGGAGGTGACCAGCCAGAGGAGGCGCCGGTGTCACATGTTAGGAGCTGCAGCAGCAAAGGCTCCTCCCCTCTGAGCTTGTCTGCGGGCAGCGCCGCTTCTAAGACCCAGAGACTGAAAGCAGCCTGGCTGTTCTGAACAATCAGGGACTCGTCCCCACACAGCGCCTCTCACCACGGGACGCTCTGGAATAACAAAGGCTCCAGCCCTCTCCCAAAGTTCCCCCTCCTCAGTTTACATCGTGGCTTCTGCTGTGAACATATCATCCACCCCTTTAATTATGCTTTTAAACACATTATGGTGTCACATACTGATGCATGCATCGGGGCAGTTTGCTCAGAGACGTGCGGACATTAAGGCCGATGGACGCTCCCTCCTACTGAGCACAGAAGAATGAGGAGTCCAGGGAGAGCTGGGCTGTCCATATGTTCGTTCTCCTCCTGTGCTCGGGCACCAAAACTACTCACAGACATTCATATTTCCACACTGGCCCAAACAAGAGCACCCCACCTACCTTGTTCTCCCAGCCAGGGAATCTCCATCTGTCCCTGAGAGCCAGCCTGTCCCACCTTAGTGGGCAGCAGGGATCATGTGAAGCTTAGTCCAAAGTTTGTCACGCACAGAAAGCTCGTTGCAGGGCTGAATACGAAGATGAATGTTTATGTCCGATTAGCAATGCATGCTGCAATCATGGGAGAGTGGTAATGGAATACCGGCTGGCTTAACCGTGATCCTGCTGCAGAGCCGCGACACATGCACCGACACATGAGCCACTTCCCTGGTGGCGGCCAGGAAACGCACCACGCTGACTCATTATGATACAGGATGACATCATTCTCCAAGCAGCGTTGGCTGTTTGTGGCAAACTGCCTGCTGGTTTGGTGAGTTAGGTTGTAACATCAGCACGGGGCATTCAAATGTTTGTCATGTCCCCAAATTCAAGTGATTCCCCCGAGTGCTGTGTACACGCTCACAGGTGGGCATGAACAGAACCCAGCTCCAGGTCACCTCGGGACTCTAGCAAGGGGGGGGCACAGTGCTTCTGCTTATTGGACTGACTCCATGATGGTGAGATGGGGCTCTGTGGGTCCTCGCCATCTGTTACAGGATCCATGTTCATCTTTGCCAAAGAAAGTTTCATGTGACTTTACAGGGACACACAGAGCGTATGATGTGTAACGATGTGTAACGACGTGTAAGACATCCTGGGTTTCCCTCTGGCACAGGTCGGGGTGTCCAGCTCCAGGCCTCGAGGGCCCGTGTGCTGCAGGTTTACACGTGTCAGCTGATTTAATGGCCTCCTCAACATGTTCTGAAGTTCTCCAGAGATCAACTAATCGTGTGATTCAGGTGTGCTGACCCAGGGGGAGGTCTAAAACCTGCAGGACCCTGGCCCTCGAGGCCTGGAGTTGCCCACCCCTGGTCTAAGTGGTAGTAGTACCAGACATTCATGGGGGGGTTAAAAACCTGAATTCTCTTTCTGTGCTGTTTCCAAAACTTCAATTCAGTGATAAATGAATGTTTATACTAATTTTCTGCTTCTTCGTTTCAAACTATGGCAGTTGTTGTTAGACTTCTACATGACACCTACACATGTTTCAAGAATGCACAGATGTGGCCAGTGATGCATGTAGACAGACGGACGTGCAGACAGATGCCATTTTTCAAACATAAAAAACAAAAACATCTTTTGCAAAAGAGAGAGAGAGATTAAAGGCTTTCAAACGAGCTGCACTCAGTGGCTTTTGTAGCTCTTGGGATTTGTGCAGTTTCTCTGGGCCTTGCAGGGCGAACCTGGGTTAATCAGGGAACTAAAATAAGTGTTGGTTCCCTGAAAAGACTGTAATTCAACGCTGTTCTTTGTGTGGTTCAGGTCCATGGATCAGTGGGTGAGCCCTGGTGGTTGTGGGTGGAAGATGCCATGAATGATCACATCTACCACTCTGAGTACTTCCTGCTGCAGAAGAAACAGGTCTGCTGTATGAGTCTCAGCTCAGATGAACACAAAGCACAGAGAATGACGCGTCTGTTCTCCTCAGGTGGTGTCAGGAGAGCCTCAGCACATCGTGTTCACCATTCCCATCTTTGAGCCGTTGCCCTCACAGTACTACATCAGGGCCGTCTCTGACCGATGGCTCGGTGCTGAAGCTGTCTGCATTATCAACTTCCAGGACCTGATCTTACCAGAGCGACACCCCCCACACACTGGTACACACTCAGACACACAGTGCCCCCACAGGCCTTCATGATGTTACTCTGAGCTCTGTGAAGAAGGTGGACCTGTACTTACAGCCCTTTTAGTAGAAGCTGTATTCACTGATTTTGTTCACATATTTATTGATTGATTTTTGCATTTACACCCACGGATCTGTCTGCAGCACTTTGGTGTTGTTAGGGTCGAAGCGCTGACCTTCAGATTACTGGACTCTACTTCTTGAGCCACACTGGTTATGTCAGATACAGCCTAGAAGGCTATAAGTGTAGTTTGTCCAAATAAGGACACTGACTGGTCAGCTGACCTTCCCATTATTAGACAAACCAGTCAAGGCCATAATAAGCAGAGCTGCAGAGCCGTGTGTCCACTTCAGCCACAGCTGGAGCTTTGGACAGAAAAGCTCTGAGTGCTCTGTCTCTTACTGGAACCAGAGCGCACTGATCATCACGATAAGGTTTGAAAAAGTAAACTGCCCAACATCAGCTGCTGGGGACAAGCCTGCACACTGGGGCCAGGTCACGTTACACTCTGATCAGCATCACAGTTTGGATGCAAAAGTCTCACATTGGTTTCTGTTGTTTCTAATAATCATTGTATCATGTAGCCACCTTTAAACTCTGTTGTCTTGTGACCCTTGTCCCATGATCCTTTGCATGACTTCTTCACTCTCAGAGCTACTAGACCTCCAGCCGTTGCCAGTGACTGCTCTGGGTAACCGAGAGTACGAGAGCCTTTACAAGTTCACTCACTTCAACCCCATCCAGACCCAAATCTTCCACACACTGTACCACACCGACACCAACGTGTTGCTGGGAGCGCCGACGGGCTCTGGAAAAACCATCGCAGCAGAGATGGCCATGTTCCGGGTCTTCAACAAGTATCCGTCCTCCAAGGTAGCGTCCCCGAGTCCCTCTGTAGGCATGTAAGGAACAGAGAACCCTCCGCAGTGCCGTGTACAGCATCAGCTCTTTGCTTTTACAGTCATCGTAGCATCGTTCCATCAAAGCTGTGCAGGCCCTAACACTGCATTTCATCGAGACATGATGTAAATTCAGATGACTACATAAGTATATATGAACTGTGGGTTTGGACATTGGGGATTTTAGGAATAGATCAATTAAAGGAAAAGGATGTGCTGGAAGGTGAAAACAAGCACACCGTTGCAGAACTTTGAGCTCTCTGGTTTTGTTTTCATAATTCTTGCACTTGTTTGAGAGTCAAAACTGAATTGAAGTGAACGTCTGCTCCATTATAAGCAACTGTGTGATGGTCATAGTCTGCACAGCTGGAAGTGTTAGCCTCACTATAGTGGGCTAACTGGTAAACAGTGACGCAGCGGGCTAGTCCATTTTATTGCAACAACACGCGGTCACATGCTGGCTGTACCGTAATGATCACATCGTGTGTTTAAAACGAGATTCATTCAAGAGTTTCCTCTGATTTTAGTTTCAGGCGATGACCTCATCAACAGGAGGAACAGGGCTCAAAGTGGGAAAAGCCATTACCAGTAATCTGGTAGCTACTCTGAGGAATGTGAACATAGTTCTGGTGTCTGTAGCTTTGTTCTACACGACTCTCGTTACGTCCATAACTTTGACTTGTATTAGCAAATTTAGAGGAAGTCGTCATGAAGAATTTTGCTCTTTAGTTCGATGGTGGTTAGTGTACCCACAGGACAACGCTAACAGAGTCAGCTGTGGCTCCTGGAGGTTCCTCAGCAACGCACCGAGCTGCACTGCTTATAAGGAATCCACTGTTACTTCAACATCAGCTCTGGGGCTTTGATGGTGTGAATGATGCCACGTCCACTTAGTCTGGTTAACTGTTTGCTTTGCAGTCCACCTGCTGTTGTCACTGACTGTGAATGAATGGATGCACAGCACACATACACAGATTTATTCTTTATAAAAGGCAATGAGTCTGTCAACGGTCTGCATGTTACTGTTATTTTTGGCCGTTTGATAAAAATGTATTTCAGCCCTGGAGAAAGAAACCCTAATGATGAGTGTAAACGCTCTCTGTGGATCGCCTTACTGTGGTCGTTTCACTCATGTAGTCAACAGGATCCACACCCTTCCTTACCCTGTGACCCCTGGATCCCAGCAGCAGTCAGCACAGGTGGTTTAAACACACGGCAAAGGCAGCTGAGATGCTCCAGCAGAGCAGTCAGTGTAGGGAAACTAGCCGAGCTTGATCGAGTTATTGTTTGCCTGTGTTCTGTGTTTAGGTCGTGTATATTGCCCCTTTGAAGGCCCTGGTGAGGGAGCGCATTGAGGACTGGAAGGTCAGGATTGAAGAGAAACTTGGAAAAAAGTAAGAACAGAGAAACTCTGCATGTAAAGAGGCCTTAAACACATGAAACTAGCTAATGATGACATGGTTTTTAAACTGGTATCAATTAAGCCTTAAACATAATCGAGTTACTCCTGCAGACACACTGTAAATGCTGTTCATATGACACCAACAAACAGTTTCTTCTTGTGCTTGTGAAGCGTGGTGGAGCTGACCGGGGACGTGACTCCAGACATGAGAGCCATAGCAAAAGCTGACCTGATCGTCACCACGCCCGAAAAGTGGGATGGAGTCAGCAGGAGTTGGCAGAATCGAAGCTACGTCCAGAAAGTAGCGATTCTCATTATCGATGAGATCCACCTGCTGGGTAAGAGTCTACAGCACACCTGGGCCCGCTGGTGTGGAGCAGGTCCTACCTGTATGTTCTTCACCACGGCTCAAAAACGCTTTTGCTCCATGTAGCCCATGATGTCCTAAATATAAACATGTGAAGGCCCTGAAACAGGACTCCCTGTTAGCTGTGTTAGCGTTAGCACTGTGTCTGTTTCCAGGTGAGGACAGAGGTCCAGTCCTCGAGGTCATTGTGTCCAGGACCAACTTCATCTCATCTCACACTTCCAAGAGTGTTCGAGTAGTTGGGCTGTCCACGGCTCTGGCCAACGCTCGAGACCTGGCTGACTGGTTGGGCATCGGACAGGTCGGCACCTGCATTACATCACACTAGGGCTGGGCGATATGGCCTAAAATCCACATCGCGGAATAATCTGAAACATGTGCGCTAACGATATATCATGATATATTCTTTTCTTCTGTATAACGCATTGTACACACTATAAGGCGCACTTAAAATCCTATCATGTTCTCAAATATCGACAGTGCGCCTTATAATCCGGTGCTCCTTATGTATGAATTCTGGTTGTGCTCACTGACCTCGAACCGATTTTATGTGCTACACGGCGCTCAAACATCTGTCAAAAATGTTTTAGTGCGACTTTGCTAAGCTATGAAGCCGCACCGCCTGATGGATTGTTGGAGCATTACTGCTGCTGTAGTCAGGAGCCTCGCGGAGGAATCTGGGTCCTAAACTCCGTCCCCCTCAGGTCCCAAAGTCAAACGAACACTGAGAGTTAAAAACTGTCTAAATTCTTTCATCTTTAATAAAATGATCAGCGTTGCTGCTTTACCAGGTGTAACTATGAAGTTTAACATCCATGCATCCATGAAAACAGAATCTATTAAATTTAACAGAGTTAGAAGTTAGCAGGAAGTTAGCTCGCTAGTTTCCACCTAAGCATGATATAGCATGTTCTGACTGAGAGATTTCTGAAAAAATTCAAACGTACAGCTCTGCTATCACTTCCAACATAAATGAAGACAGAAAACTAAACAGCAGTGATCTCTAGCAAAACAGCTACGTTAGCCTAACATAAACACAGTGAAGCTGGAGGACGAACACTAACACTTTTACACTTATAAAAGTTAACATGAGGGTTCCTGATGGTTAGAGACAAATGCAATCGCATAGCAGGATGCTGTACACGGACCAAACTTCAGTCAGGAGAACAACTGAGATAATCCATCCACAATACCAGGTTAGTCATTAACCCTTTAAGACCTACCATAGCACCAAGTCCACCAGAGCTTATCTTTATATTCTTACATGCTGTGGAGCCATTTGTGGGAGCATTTCAAGTTGTTATACATCAATACAACCATTATAGTCCAAATTTTAATAATATGTCTGCATTAAGTGCATAGTAATTACATAAATTGCAAAAAAGTGCAATAAACTACAAAAAAATTGAAGATCGTTTTTGTTTTTTTAACATATATTTCTAGTTAGAGAAATTTAAGAGGCTTATCCCTCAAAACTGTAAATACAAAAAAGTTGCACAAAATAGTTTCCAACCGGGGGAAATTTATTTTGAGTGTCTTCATAGTTTTATTTTTGAGATACACCAATTTTTATATACTGCAGGCAAAACGAAAATAAATATTATAATGCAAATTTGCAAAAAAACAGAATCTTTACCGGTGGCCAAATTTATATTGTTTCTAACGTATACCGTTTATACCGCCCACCCCTACATCACACACTGCCATCCTTTATATACAGGCTTACCAGCTAAAGTCAGTCAAATATTTTGTAACGTAAAACAGTGTCTGTCTTTGTGAGCGCGCGTGTGTGTGCGTGCGTGCGCGTGTTAGCGCACGTGTGTGTGTGTGCGTGTGTCTGCATGCATGTGTGTGTGTGTGCGCGTGTTAGAGCGCGTGTGTGTGTGCGTTAGCGCACGTGTGTGTGTGTGCGTGTGTGTGTTAGCGAGCGCGCATGTGCGCGCACGTGTGTGTGTGTGTGTGTCTGCATGCGTGTGTGTGTGTGTGCGCGTGTTTGTGCGCATGTGTGTGAGCGTGCATGTGTGTGTGTGAGCGTGCCTACGTGTGTCAGTTCACGTATAGTTTTGGATGCCCGTCTGCTTGCTCTTTGTTGTTCAGGCAGAAACCATAAATATCCATTCTCTGTTTTCATGTCTGTATCATTGTATCAGTGTGACATATATGATACATAATAACAAGATTGAGCATCAGAGTGATGGAGAGGAAACATTTTACTGTAACACTGATGTCACATTCTCAGCTCTTAACATGCATACAAGGCTCGTTGTGCTCTCGTCCTGAGCCAACTGCGTCCAGGGTCGTAGGACTAAATCTGTGTTCACTAGTTAATATTTGATCATCTATCATAGATTAGAATTCAGATTCTTCTTGTTTTCACATCATAATGAAGTGTTTAGTTTTCTTATTTTTCCCACTCATGTTTTGTCTTTTAATGACTGTTTATGTCACACAGGCAGACAAAGACACACATGTGGCATTGGCTCCACCCAGGGTAATAGTTATTCATGGTAATAGCAACTCAGGGTAATAGTAACTCAGGGTAATAGTTACTCTGCTAGGGGTGGAAACTGTCCCAGTTCAAACAAAGGACAAAGTCCTCATCATGCTCAGTTTGGTGTTGAAGCTGTACCTGTGCACTGCTCGTGCCCTGCAGCTGCTGCTCAATGATGAGCTTCATCAGCAGCCTCCATGTTTGTGCGTAGTCCATCCAGTACTTTGATTTTGTGGTATGTCATGAACATTAGAGACTAAAAGGAGCTTGCAGCAGTTTAACAAACCTTTATATCAGCCAGTCTTTGTAGTGTGTGTAGATGTGAGTTACACTTTGCACCATCAGAGTCAAACACTGGAGCTTTCCTTTGCTCTGCCTTCAGAGCTGTAGAGGAGACGTGCTGTCTTTGTGTTGTCCATAAATCTGGCTGCTTGGCTGCTGTTGGGACTGAGCTGCTAATCCATTATCCAGGCTTTTAAGACATCTGCACACATGCTGCAGCCCTCAATATAATAACACTGCAAAAAATGCCACACACACTTTCAACATGCTATCACACAGTAAGTTCACTTTGGCCATAGCGCCTTATCACACAGTAAACACAGAGAGCAGCTCTGTGCCTGCATCACAGTGACAGAGTGTTCACATTGCAGACAGACGGGCCTCCTGTTGCCAGCTGCGCACATTAAATCTCTCTTCTTCTCGTCTTTGGTCTAACAGGTGGGTTTGTTTAACTTCCGTCCGTCTGTGCGCCCGGTCCCACTTGAAGTTCACATCCACGGTTTTCCAGGACAGCACTACTGCCCCCGCATGGCCAGCATGAACAAGCCCACCTTCCAAGGTGCAGCTTTGTACACACTGTTTTTGCACGTTAGCACATGTGCACGTGAGATGTTGCTGGCTTTTCATGCAGCATTGTTTGGTAATACTCCTTGACCATGTGCAATATTGAAACTAACTACTGTTTTGGACTCTCCACAGCGATACGCGCTCACTCTCCAGCCAAGCCTGTGCTCATTTTTGTGTCATCACGAAGGCAAACTCGCCTGACCGCCCTGGACCTCATCGCCTACCTGGCTACAGAGGACAACCCCAAACAGTGGCTGCACCAGGATGAGAGAGAGGTTTGCTGACACACAGCAGCTCTTTCATGCACGCTGTGCTCATATGTCATAATAATATTCAAACGTTTTAAAGTCCCTCAAGGTCACCTTACATTAGTACAACAAAATAAAAACAAGAATAAGTAGTGTATATATATTACACACACACACACACACACACACACACACACACACACACACACACACACACACAGACACACACACACACTTCTGTTTATCCGGGGCTGGGTCGTGGGGGCAGCAGCCCAATCAGAGAAGCCCAGGCCTCCCTCTCCCACCTCCTGCAGCTGGCCTGGGAACACCCAGGCGTTCCCAGGCCAGGTGTTGGGTGATTGTGGAAAACCACCCAGTTCTACTGCTGACTGCTGCTGAGCTTTATTTCTAAATGTTATGTGTCCTTCTGTCCTTCCATCACAACATCACTGTCACTTCTAGAGACACTGGTCCCACAGCAGGATACTCCCACAGCCGTGTTTCACTGCGGGGGCGGCGTTCACCCTCCCTTCTGATGCCAAATATATGATTAATTCATAGATTTGGATTCTTTATTAATGATGTTCACAGTGAATGTATTTAAGTTAGGCCTCCCTTCATGGACACTGAGAACATGTAATGAGCTGAGCACTGTGCCAGTCCTCACCTTTCTGTTACCTGTTTATTTATCTGGATTAACATTACTAATCTAACCTAAATTATAGATGTCGAAGTCATAGATCTGCTTTCCTGGGCCCTGCAGACTCAGTAAATATGCAGTGTCTTATACCATAGGCAGATTTCTGTGTGTATAGCCCTCCTGCCTCAGTGTGTGTGTGTTCCACTGATATATGCCGCTGCCTGCTGCTTCCCTGCACCGGCCTGTGTAACAGCTCAGCTTCCTGCTGTTTGACTGACAGGCTTCTAGTGATGGCTGCTTAACGCTCGCCGGGGGTCACCGCCACGACAAATCCCATCTCTGGCCTGACAGCTCTTTCTTCCCTCTGCTGCTGCTCTCAGGGCCTGATGTTTCTCTTCCATTTGATTTCTACAGCCTGAGCGTTATTATCTCATACCCACTGTTTCACTTCAGTTAGTGTATTTGAAATTTAAAATGTAATTTGAATCACTGTTTTTATTCAACGTCATCTTTCTTTCTCCCAAAGCTGGGTTGGAATTGGTTCTTATGTGCATCGTTTCATTTTACTGCTACACAGACACTTCTCAGAATAATGACATATTATCTCATATATATCTCTCTCTCTCTCTATATATATATATATATATGTATACATGTATATATATATATATATATATATATATATATTTCGATACAAAAAAATGTTCAAGCATTTTTAATTTGTCATTTATTAAAATTATAAATATATATTTTAACTCAAAAGTACAGTTTTTAAATTTAACCCTAATCCTTGTGCGTGTTTTTTATTTTGACAGCGAATGCGCACCTGTGGACCACTTATGTGCAGCCCTGGTTATTTAGCTCGTCATATTGCAGCCACAGAAATTCTTTTGTCCATGAAACCATAAAGCTGCACTTTCTTTTTGCCTTATAGTCTGATTTGTCATAACTTCTCCGTTTTGTGGTAAGCTTTTCTTTGGCTGTCACTTCTTCACCCTGACCTGTCTTATTTGGCGCAGCAGAACTGAAATGCTTTTACACACGGACTCACATAAGCTCAGCGATTCTCTGCGCGATCAACCTCTCACATGTTTAAGCTGCGGGAGATTTCACTTGTCATGTTTGCATAGTAAGCTAACAATTAATAAGACGATGTCAGAGGAATTGGTGCACAAATTATCATCACTCACCAATCAGTGCTGTCGCTCTCTATACACAGTTCGCACGATTGCAAAGTGAAAGCAAAAAACGAGCGCAAATTCAAACGCGACTTCAATATGTCACATATTGACAGTGGCTCACCGATGCCAATGACATAATTACCCAGCTACATTTCTGAAAGAATGCAAAAGCATTGACATATATTTTTCCTACAATAGCCCGACGGGCAGGGAAGAGATAGATTTTGGTAGCCCGACTGAAAAAATCGCTAGCTCCGGGACGTCGGGCTAGCGATATTGCAAGCCCTGTATCTGATTGAGGAATCACTCATCTTTGGAAAAGAGAGTTTATTACAGAGAAATGTCTCTTTCCAAATAAAAGCTATACTATCCGCTTCTTCTGGGCTATATTCTCAGCAGCATAAGGAGAATCATGTGCTAACAGCTGTCTAAATGACTCGGCTAAAGTTAGTAGCATGCTTGCTTTTTTTTGTCTGCTTCCACTTGTCTTTGCACTAGGATGATGTCGGTGTAAATGTGCAGTCATATTCGTTGTGTTCCCACTAGTGCTTTCAGGTTAATCTCGTTGAAATGACCTTAAAGCCACAACACGGCAAATCTCCGTTAACGAGCTACCGCCGATCACCTGTGCATGGGGCTAGACGGCCAACACGTTAACGAGCTAACTGCGCTAACACACTAGTTCCCACCCATGTAATTGAGCATTGCATGGCACATCCAACATACTGTTTTACTTTAGTCCATGACGCGCTTACCTTCAGGGTCATACGTCACATGAAAACCAAAATAATTCCAAACGCCAGATCTGAATGAGGGTGGGGGAGGTTCAATTTGCCATGTTGCAAGAAGAGCTTAACTTCTGTCTCGCTAGCTTGCCCTGCTCTCTTCCTTCTGACGATGCTGTCTGTGTTGAGCGCTCAGTGAATCTGCGTTCAACTACTCCGCCTAGGCTGCACTGTCGACCCTAGGCGGAGTAGTCGAACGCAGATTCACTGAGCGCTCAACACAGACAGCATCGTCAGAAGGAAAGTTGATAAAATAAATTACAAATGTTGTATTGTTCGATACATATGCGTACCGAACCGAAAGCACTGTATCGAACGGTTCAATATCGATACGAATATCGTTGCACCCCTAGTATATACATATATATACATATGTATGTATGTATATATATATACGTATGTATGTATATATATGTATATATATGTATATATATATGTATATTATATATATGTATATTATATATGTATATGTATATATATATGTATATGTATATATATATTTATGTATATATATATGTATATGTATATATATATGTATATGTATATATATTATATATATATTATATATATGTATATATATTGTTATATATATATATATTGCAGGTATATATATATTTGGTCTATCACCAGCAGACCCAGTGCAGCTGTGTAAAGATGCCAGAAACAATCAGCACATAAAGAGGTCAAGATAGCAAAGCATACATGAACCATAACAAGTGCCGCATAGTGTACAGAAATCTGCGATATAACTGGAAGTGAGGTCAATGGGATGAAGGGGTGGAGATGACGAGTAAATGTATAATACAGACAAAATGGTAAAAACATCGAGATCTGTAAAACAGTAAAGTAAATATGCGAGTACTAGGTTGGAGGGGTGGGATAACGGGGGGGTGGGTGTTTTATATATATATATATATATATTATATATTTTTTATATATATTTATTTTTTTTTTTTTTTTTTTTATATGTATATATATATAATATATATATAAAATATATATATATATGTATATATATATAATATATATGTATATATGTATATATGTATATAAAAAAAAAAAAAAAAAATATATATATGTATATATATATATATATATATATATATACAGTGGGGCAAAAAAGTATTTAGTCAGCCACCGATTGTGCAAGTTCCCCCACCTAAAATGATGACAGAGGTCAGTAATTTGCACCAGAGGTACACTTCAACTGTGAGAGACAGAATGTGAAAAAAAAATCCATGAATCCACATGGTAGGATTTGTAAAGAATTTATTCATAAATCAGGGTGGAAAATAAGTATTTGGTCACCTCAAACAAGGAAAATCTCTGGCTCTCACAGACCTGTAGCGTCTTCTGTAAGATGCTTTTCTGTCCCCCACTCGTTACCTGTATGAATGGCACCTGTTTGAACTCATCATCTGTATAAAAGACACCTGTCCACAGCCTCAAACAGTCAGACTCCAAACTCCGCCATGGCCAAGACCAAAGAGCTTTCGAAGGACACCAGGAAAAGTATTGTAGACCTGCACCAGACTGGGAAGAGTGAATCTACAATAGGCAAGCAGCTTGGTGTGAAGAAATCAACTGTGGGAGCAATCATCAGAAAATGGAAGACATACAAGACCACTGATAATCTCCCTCGATCTGGGGCTCCACGCAAGATCTCATCCCGTGGGGTCAAAATGATCATGAGAACGGTGAGCAAAGATCCCAGAACCACACGGGGGGACCTGGTGAATGACCTGCAGAGAGCTGGGACCAAAGTAACAAAGGTCACCATCAGTAACACACTACAACGGCAGGGAATCAAATCCCGCAGTGCCAGACGTGTTCCGCTGCTGAAGCCAGTGCATGTCCAGGCCCGTCTGAAGTTTGCCAGAGAGCACATGGATGATACAGCAGAGGATTGGGAGAATGTCATGTGGTCAGATGAAACCAAAGTAGAACTTTTTGGTATGAACTCAACTCGTCGTGTTTGGAGGAAGAAGAATACTGAGTTGCATCCCAAGAACACCATACCTACTGTGAAGCATGGGGGTGGAAACATCATGCTATGGGGCTGTTTTTCTGCCAAGGGGACAGGACGACTGATCCGTGTTAAGGACAGAATGAATGGGGCCATGTATCGTGAGATTTTGAGCCGAAACCTCCTTCCATCAGTGAGAACTTTGAAGATGAAACGAGGCTGGGTCTTCCAACATGACAATGATCCAAAACACACCGCCCGGGCAACAAAGGAGTGGCTCCGTAAGAAGCATTTGAAAGTCCTGGAGTGGCCTAGCCAGTCTCCAGACCTCAACCCCATAGAAAATCTGTGGCGGGAGTTGAAAGTCCGTGTTGCTCGGCGACAGCCCCAAAACATCACTGCTCTCGAGAAGATCTGCATGGAGGAATGGGCCAAAATACCAGCTACTGTGTGTGCAAACCTGGTAAAGACCTATAGTAAACGTTTGACCTCTGTTATTGCCAACAAAGGTTATGTTACAAAGTATTGAGTTGTATTTTTGTTATTGACCAAATACTTATTTTCCACCCTGATTTACCAATAAATTCTTTACAAATCCTACCATGTGGATTCATGGATTTTTTTTTTCACATTCTGTCTCTCACAGTTGAAGTGTACCTCTGGTGCAAATTACTGACCTCTGTCATCATTTTAGGTGGGGGAACTTGCACAATCGGTGGCTGACTAAATACTTTGTTGCCCCACTGTACATATGTGTGTGTGTGTATGTGTGTGTGTATATATATATATATGTGTATATGTATATATATATATGTAGATATGTAGATATATATGTGTATATATACACACATTCACACTCTGATGGATGCATCGGAGAGCACCATGCGGTTAGTATTTTGTCAAAAGATATTTGGCATGCAGACTAGAGTCTAGGATCAAATCACCAACCTAGTTTTTTCCATATCAGTCAATATGAGATTTGTGAGTCAGGATTGGGTTGATGTCCAGTTTAAATATGTTATATATGTACATGAGGATGGCAAAAGTCCACACGACGCGCCCAGTGTAACAGCACAATTTTGAATAAATGAACACGACAGACCACATTAGCAGCAAAGTTTATCGTAACGAAGCCCTGGGACTAGAGAGCTCGTTACTCCTCGGTGAGATTTGTTTTTCGTACTAATCACTGTCTGTGCTCTGGTTTGTTTGCAGATAGAGGACATCATTGGCACAGTTCGAGATTCCAACCTGAAGCTGACACTGGCCTTTGGGATCGGCATGCATCATGCAGGCCTCCATGAGAGAGACAGAAAGACTGTAGAGGAGCTGTTTGTCAACTGTAAGATTCAGGTATTCCCTCACCCCGCTGCTGGGCTGCTAATCTGGCACAGCTGATGCACATGTAGGCTGATGGGTTAGTGTCTCCATAAATATACAGGCTACGGTCCTAGCAGCACTGACAGCAGCCTGTTCATTCATTTGCATAACTGACACTGGAATGACCAATCGAATCTCTTAATGCAACCGGCCCCTCCCCTGCCCTTCCTGTGCGTTCATGCAGCTAATAGAACTGCAGTTTAGTGAGGAAGAAGTGGCTGATAAGGATGGACAAACAAAAGCAAAAAGTGCTTTACAGTGTTGTTCACATGGCTCTTTGGCGTTCTCATGTACGCACATGTTTCCAGCTGCACTCTCCTGCTCACACACCACACAGCTCTCTCCTAAGGCAGCTACTGAAATGAGGACGACACGGTTGGTGTGATGGATGACAGCTGTGGCTCCCCTGGCACCGCCCCCCGGAACCCACTGCTCCACCCTTCCCCTGCAGCTGAGCCACAAACCACACCCTGCCACAGAGGGGTCAGCATCTGCATCTGCTGACCCCACTGTGCATGTGAAGGCAGACAAACTCGAACCTACTGCACCAATGTAGTGTACATAGAAATGCAGCATGTGTGGCAAAATTCAATTCAATTTTATTCATATAGCGCCAAATCACAACAACAGTCGCCTCAAGGTGCTTCATAGATACAGAGAAAAACCCAACAATCATATGACCCCCTATGAGCAGCTCTTTGGCGACAGTGGGAAGGAAAAACTCCCTTTTAACAGGAAGAAAGCTCCAGCAGCACCAGGCTCAGGGAGGGGCGGGGCCATTTGCTGTGATTGGTTGGGGTGAGAGAAGGAAGACAGGATAAAGACATGCTGTGGAAGAGAGACAGAGGTTAATAACAGATATGATTCAATGCAGAGAGGTCTGTGAACACATAGTGAGTGAAGAAGAAACACCCAGTGCATCATGGGAATCCCCGGCAGCCTATGTCTATTGCAGCATAACTAAGGGAGGATTCAGGGTCACCTGGTCCAGCCCTAACTATATGCTTTAGCAAAAAGGAAAGGTCGAAGCCTAATCTTGAAAGTAGAGATAGTGACATGTTTCACAGCGTTACAGTCTGTGTTCGGTAAGACCTCCTTATTCTTCATCACAGCCTGAACTATCTTAGGAAAGCCTTCCTGTCATTTCCTTTAGTGGTCTTCAGGAATAGTTTTCCAGGCTCTTTCAAGCACATTCCAAAGCTTTTCCTTTGCCTGGAATTTCTGTAATTGGGCAAAACCCCAGCTGTCTCTCTCCGTCTGCCTGTCCTCACTTCCTGTTGTTCTGTCTGCTCCACACACAGGTCTGTTAGTGCTACAGAGGATGAATGCTGCTACATTAATCCTGTGCACAGTTAGACTCTGTCACTCCTCAGCTGCTGTGTCTATATCTCACGTCCTGTTTGGTTGTAACTCATTTCTAAAATGTCACCAGGTTCTGATTGCTACCAGCACTCTGGCCTGGGGAGTGAACTTCCCCGCTCACCTGGTTGTCGTCAAGGGAACCGAGTACTACGATGGCAAATCCAGGCGCTATGTGGACTACCCCATCACAGGTACAGCTCAGTGACAGCCTGGGTGTGGTCTCTGTGGAACAGGAAGTGTGCTTCCTCCAGTCTGTGTGACGTTAAACTCCGCATTAAGAAGCTCTCTCATATAGCTGTCACTGACGCTCAGAACAAACTGCATTAACAGATCGTAAACGTTCTGCTCTAAAGGTTGTGTGTAACTGTGTGTGTGTGTAGACGTGCTGCAGATGATGGGGCGAGCAGGCCGTCCTCAGTTTGATGACCAGGGCAAAGCAGTGATCCTTGTCCACGACATAAAGAAGGATTTCTACAAGAAGTTTCTGTACGAGCCGTTTCCTGTAGAGTCCAGGTAACAGCACAATCTTCATCATCAGGATTCCTGCCATAGTCATCTGTTAGTGTCAAAGACTGGGCCCATCTGTGGATGTCTAATGTATTTAAATCTTTATGACTTTATGTACTGTGATACATATCAGGCCTTATGTGAAAGCATGCTGTCAGTACAAACAGGATGCTGCTGTTTCCCCTTCGGATCAGTCTGTCCTGCAGCACTGACAGCGTCTAAGTGGGACGAGATACTTTCAGTCTTTACATGATGCTTTCTGTTCACACAACACACCTGCAGTCGTAGTTCCTCAGTGTTTTATACTGTGTGTGTGTTTTACACTGAGTTTGTGTTTTATACTGTGTGTGTGTTTTATACTGTGTGTGTGTTTACTGTTTTTTTTTTTGTGTGTGTTTTATACTGTGTGTGTGTTTTATACTGTGTGTGTGTTTTACACTGTGTGTGTGTTTTATACTGTGTGTGTGTTTTATACTGTGTGTGTGTTTTACACTGTGTGTGTGTTTTATACTGTGTGTGTGTTTTATACTGTGTGTGTGTTTTACACTGTGTGTGTGTGTGTTTGTGTGTTTTACAGTGATTTCTTCTCCTTTGTCAGACCCACAGGTGCTCTGAGGGCCTCGCAGCTCTCTTCAAGTCTTAGATTGATGTTTATCATAAACGTAAACATTAGAGATAACAGCAGCGGCGAGGTGCCAGGGCGTTAAATCACTCTCCGAGGACGCTAATAGCACCTACACGATAAAAGAGATCGCACATTTTGTCTCGCTGGTTTTTGTTGAGTATTTATATGATGGTGTGTTGGGTTCAGTGTAATTAATGTGAGTAATATTTCAAGAAAACAGCTCATTTTTTCAGTGTCCCTGAAATGTTTTATATCAAAGTGGACGTGCTGCAGACTGGAGCCACTACAGTTGTTGCAGTGAACAGAGGGAGCACGTTTTTTAAATGCAGTTTTTGGACAGCGGTCATACTTTGTGACATGTGTGCGTTCTGGTCAGAGTGGGAAATCTGACAGGAAGCTAGAAAGACTCTGGGAATCTTTCAGAGGAAACAGAAAAAAAGATGCTTTCACTATCCAAATGCAGAGGTTTGTTTTACACAGACATGTTGAATGAAGTCGTTACTATCAGCTCATGTTCACTGTAATCACGCATGAATGCAACATCAGCAGTGTCGTTAATAAAGATAAACTGGTGACCTTATACACTGTCATTATAGTCTCCTCCCTGTTAGCAATAGCATTCACGTGTTAGCACAGGTAGTATGTAAACAAAGCAGACAGTTTATCTCTAACATCAGCAACAGGCTTGGTATCAGATATGATTCATGTTCTTTGTAGTGTGACTGCAGTCTTTGGACTGCACTGTCACTGTAGAGCCACCGTGATGACACTGGTGGGGCATCCATGGATCAGAGCCCAGGGTTTGTTTCCTGTTCAGTGTCGGGCTGCAGTAGTTTGTGTGCAAATCTCTGCTGCAACATGTGGTCACCGCTGTCCTGGAAACCACTGCAAGTGATGCAAAATTGTATTTACATGCTTTTAGGTGCTGGCTTTACAGCACCATCGTTACCCTCTGCCAGCATGCTGCTGTTTAGAAAGGCCTACAGTGATAAGTCAACCAGCTGATGTGTCGTGTCGTATCCTCAGCCTCCTCGGCGTGCTCTCTGATCATCTGAATGCTGAGATTGCTGCAGGAACCATCTCATCCAAGCAGGACGCCATGGACTACATCACCTGGACCTACTTCTTCAGACGGCTGATGATGAATCCCAGGTTAGCCCAGCACACACACACACCTGTGCATAGTGTAGACACAGCCTGGTTATTGCTGTGATGTGTTGTTCAGCCAAACATCTGCTATGTAGACAGAGCCCACTCCAGAACATTCCAGCCTGTTGGTAATTGCACGCCTGTCATCCCACATTTACCACTGACGGAGGCCCAGCAGTGGCACTGTAACCCTGCAGGCCTGTGAGTCCAGATGATATCTGGATTCAAACTGGGATTTTGGGTCAGTGTTCACATTTCAGAGAGGCTTTGGAGCGTCGCTGCATTCATTTGTTGTCATCTGCTGCAAACTGTGGGCACACAGCTGCGTCTGTGTGCGTCCCTCACTGCAGCCCTGCTGACTTCACTGTTTCTCACTGAAAGATGAAGGAGTGGTTTGATCATCAATGTTATAAACAGCATTACAGTTACAAAGCAGCCTGCTGGGTTTCTAAATAGTGTTCATGGTAAACTATTATAGTTTTGTTTGCCTGACAGCTCCGTGTTGGCTGTATACAGACACTGGACTGGTAAATGAACTGGTTCTTGCATCGCGCTTTTCTACTCATCTGAGCACTCAAAGCACATTCACACAAGCACTTTTTCCTAAGTGCTCCCTAACTACATTCACGGCTGCCTCGCTGTGCCATCAGCAGCTTCGTGGCGCTGAGCCTGATGGCGTGGCTTTCAAACAGGCCCCGCCTCTGAAATGTGTTTGGTCATAAACACGCTCGGTGCTCATGTGTCTGTGCTGCTAACATGTGGAGCTGTGACAGTAACACACGCCCACACACACACACACACAGTGTGTGACAGTAACACGCCCATAAATGAGGCCATCCAATGTCTCCACGGCTGCTTCTACTCCTTCAGCTGTGATGTCACCTCCGTGTTAGTGCGCTATGAAAGGTTTGGTATGATAATCATAATGACATCATTTGTTACATGGTTTACATGCACGACTTCCTCCACCTCAGACAGCGTTTGCATCACACAGTTCTGATGATCCGTGTTTATCTCGTTCTTAGTGCAAACAGAGAGTTTGTGAGGGAAGTGCTGCTGCCTCAGTGTTGCTGCTTTACACCAGACAAATAATAATAGTAGTAGTAGGAGGGTATGTGAATATTATCACAGTACAGCCTGATTTAAAACTGGATCCCTGTGAAACCGTAAGTGTTTAATAAAGTCAGAGGTGAGCAATGCTGCCTTTCCACACGAGGAGTCACCCCATCACCCGTCAGAGAGGATGCAGGTGTAAGGCGCTCCACCTCAAAAGTCCGTCCACCTTTTATCTACAGTTCATCACCTGTCTGAAACAAACCGCTTTGGCTGCCCTCCTCTGCCCGTCCTCACATCCAGGACTCGGTGACTATCGTGGCATTCGCTCTCACTGACATGACGACACCACAGGAACAAAACTGTTTCCCAAAGTAAGAGACTGAACTTGAGCCCAGAGCAGGACTGTAGACTGTAGGATTCATTATTAAACTGTAGGACTGTTTTCTGCTTGTAGGCCTTTGATAATAACTGAGAAGAGTCAGTGACTCAGTTTGAGACGTGCACACATATCTGACATTGAAATCTTGTATTTTTTGTCAGTTTTCGAGGATTTTAAAACAAAAGCATCAATACGAGTTTATAAAAACTATCTTACAGTTACAATTCATCATTTCGTCTTATCAGCTTCAGAAACCATGAAACGTGGTTTGTAACTGACTATAGAGAACCAGATGGCACTAATTAGCACAACTGCCCGTCAGTAATGACCCTGTTTTCCAGTCTTACCACGATGTTGTTGATACATTCACACAGATTTTGTTGCCTCGGATCTTAAAATGTTTCCTTCAGCATGGAAAAAGCCACATGTGCTGTAGTTTCCCAGCAGTACAGGCACAAATATTGGCTTTGTGAACTAATGGAAGTTGTCTTTGATTGTGCTTCTGCTGACGCTCAGGTGCTAACTGTTAGCATCTCTGAGCATGCTAATAACGCTGCAGCCTGAGAGTGGTTTTCCTGCAGGAGCCAGGAGAACAGCCAGCTTTGCTACTCTGTGTTTACTGGATGCTAATGCTGTTCCACCATCATCATGCCCTGCACACGCTAACATGGATGTTATTAGTGTTTACATGTTCCCAGCATTAGCCAGTTTGTTGAATCGCGACTCTGTAGAGCCCACACTACAGCATGTGCCCTCACAGTCTAAGGCTGGTGTGTTTGCTGAGAACTGCTGATGTCTTGCAGCTCATAGATCCTGACCTCCTGTACTGAAGGCTGAGCAGCTGACTGCGTCTGTACTCGCCGTCACAGAAAGACAGCGTGTGCTAATACCTGCTGACAGCTTTGCAGGCCGTCGTCTGTGATGTTGTAGCTGTTTACTGTCACCAGCTGACAGCGTCACACTCGGCCTGCCTTCCTGTGCTGTGATTGGTGGTTCAGCCAGCTGTGTAGAAGAGCAAGGTTACAGCATGTGAGATGATTGCAGCAGTCAGCGTGCTGATTGGCTGATCCTAATTCATTGTCATGGTGATGAGGCCAGTGCAAATGTGAGGCTTTCTTCTTTTAATATTTTTGGATGTATTCATGTTTTTAAACATTAAACATGGTGAAGTAGTTTGACAACAGTTTGAAAATTTGAAGCTTATATTTCACAGCAAGCGCTACATATCTCTGCACAGTGGGCCATAAGCTGCTCAGGCCT